AGCGGTTCCTCAGTGGAACAGGCTTCCTTGGGAGGTGGCGGGCTCTCCTTCTTTGGAGGTTTTCAAACAGAGGCTAGATGGCCATCTGACAGCAAATGTTGATTGTGTGAACTTAGGCAGATCATGAGAGGGAGGGCAGGAAGGGTCACATCCAGTGTTCCCTCTCAGCTGTGGAGTCTTGTGAGCAAAAATTCTTCTATGTCAGCTACTTGCATTAAAGTTGCGAGCGAGCGATTTGGCTACTGCATCAGTCAGTTTGCTTTGGCGCCCTCCTTCCTGAGCTGAGACAAAAACGCGTGAGCCGGAGGCTAAGACACTGTGAGCTAGCTCACGCTAACTCAGCTTAGAGGGAACACTGGTCACATCAGTGCTTAGTTCTTGTGGCCCTTTCTTACACACCCAGGGAAATGCTGATCGCCACTTTGGGGCCAGAAAGCAATTTTTCCCCCAGGCCAGTTTGGCTGAAGACCCTGGAGGGGTTTTTTTCACCTTAATCTTCTGGGCGTGGAACAGTGGTCACTGCAGGTGTGGAAGGGCAGGTATTTGTCAATTTCCTGCATTGTGCAGGGGTTGGACTAGATGACCCAGGAGGTCCCTTCCAACTCTATGATTCTATAATTCTGTGATTCCTGTGGCAGAGAGCCACAGTATATTAAACCATTTTTTAAAGAAATCAAAATGATGTGAAAATAATAATAGAAATTAGTTTGAAAATCTGCTATCTGGCCGCTTTCAGGCTTTTATCTCATAGCGGGGATAGACTTTTAAAAATATATATTAAAGGTAGTGATATTACGCACTGTAATGGAGGTCCTGCAAGCAACGTAAAACATTTTTTACAGCTTAGTCGCTCCTCCTGACTGCATCAGAGAAACACTGGCATGGGGAAAACTCGGGAAACCGAGTGCATCTTCGGAGTCATAAATGACTCGGAGGGGTTTTTGCCCTGTGGTGCACTTTGGCTCACTTACTTGACTCATCCAGAGCTCTTGGTGCTACAGGCATCTTTCTGTGGTGCCCTGAGTCATGAGCTGCTGTGCTGATCTCCGGAGGGCTGGTGGGCATCAACTAAAAACTGAGTACCTCCAAGTAGGAATCGATTGCATTGAAAAGCTTTGTGCTTGGGGTGATGTGAGAGCTCTATCCGTGATGTAACAATGGTGATAAACTCATTTCACACGTGCTGGTAGCCTGGATGTTGTGGCTAACATGATTTGGTAGCTAACGTGCTTGTGTGAAACCACCCCAGGAAGCCAGTACTAAGTCCTTCCCATTCTTGATTGAATTAGTTGAAAAACTTGCACTGATTTCAGAAGGCAATGAGCCCCCTTTCCCCGGTTTGGCGTTACAAATCCTGAAAGGAATTGCAGAAGGTTCTCAAACCTTCCCCTGCAGTAGCCCCTCCAACATTTCTACTCTACTTCCGGCCTTCCTTGTATCTGGAGTGTGCAACACCTTCCCAAAGTGTTATCAGCATAAGAGAGAGGCTCTCTGGATTTCTTTTAACACTCCCTCCCCACCCCAGCATTAAAAGTGTTGCTGAGAGTGACAGATTCTCTCCTTTGCAAAGCATTTCTGTTGTTCACCCTAAGTGATAAATGTCAACTCTGAAAGATATTTTTTCTTCTTCCATGAAAGCGATCGGCTTTGAGTTTCAGCGGCATGAATATCTTGCCAGAGCCACTTCAGTTTCATGTAAATGAGCGAACGGCCAGGAATATTTGGCAAGTGCCCTGGCCTTTAGCTTTCATTTGTGGAACGATCAATGGTTCTTTCTGCCAACTGGGAAAAATTAGGGTCAATGTTCTCTTGCTTGGCTTTTGGTTGCAGAACTTGGATTGACAAATAATCCACTGACTATTAACAACTCATTGCTCCTTTTTTTTACCCCCTCCAGTCTCCTCTTAGCCATGACCTCATCCTTAACCTGACTCAGGACGGAATCAAACTGCTGTTTGATGCTTTCAATCAAAGACTTAAGGTAAAAACAAAATATATTTATTTACTTCGTTTCTACCCCACTTTTCTCCCTTATTGGGACCCAAAGTGGCTTTACAGCATTCTCCCCTTCTCTGTTTTATCCTCACAACAACCCTGTGGGGTAGGTTAGGCTGAGTGTGTGTGACTGGCCCAAAAGTCATCCAGCAGGCTTCCATAGCAAGGCAGGGAATCAGACCTGGGTCTCCCAGTTCATTGTGCAGCGTTCTGAACATGACACCATGCTGTACTTTTCTGCCTTCCCGCTCCCCTCCCACTTAAGACTTACGTGTGCAAGTACACCCAGCCAAAGTTGGTTCCAACAAAAGAGATGTTACAGATGTTCTTCTGGGTAACATCCTGCTGTGTGAACTCTTCCATCTCCTTCTTGTATCTGCCTAGCTAAAACGAACTTCCCAATGAAATCGGACAGAGGTAGAGAACAAGTGATGCATTAGATGCTAGGATATGTAAATACTCAGAGGTCTGAAAGATATCACAGAGGTTTGTGGCTAGTACAAAATTATCTGCTTGTATTTTTATTTAATAAATAAACCCAGAACTATGTTTAATACATAAATCCAGAATTGAGTCAAATCAGAACGTTTGGGCATTGCAAAGGTTACCAGATGCCCTCTTTTTAGAGGGCCTGTCCTCTTTTTTTTTGTGTCCGTCCTGTTTTGGGCTCTTTTTAAAAAGCTGATGAACATGTCCTTTTTGGGGGTCGGAAGGTTAGGAATATTCCTAGTTAGTAGCAGGGTTATTTAAAATTATTTGTCATAATGGTCACTTGTTCAAAGTAGTCAGGAAATATGTCCTCTTTTTTGCTTTTTAAAATATGGTAACCCTAGGCATTGTTGATGTTTGCCAGTGACTCCCTGAGAATAAAAGGAATATAGTACAGGGAACAGCACCACAGCAGCTCCCTGCAAGATCCTTTCCAGTGTCACTGCACCACCCCCACCCCCACCCCGTGCTGCTGCTTGCTTGCCCAATGGCAGTGTCTGACTGCTGCTGCTTGCAGAAACCAGGAAGTCTTTACTTGATTAGCATTCCATGTCTTCTCTCCAGACAAAAACCCAAATCAAATTTCTAGCTGCAGAAAATGCTATATGGCTTGATCTGTAAGAGCCACTGTAAACTGCCAAGTGTTCTTTTGTAGATGGTAGAGAGGCGTTTCCCGTCAACAGTGCCATTGTTCTGTTCCCCCACACACACACACTTTAATTTGCTTAGTTATGGCTCCCCCCTGCCCCTGCAATAATTGTAACTGCTTAGCAGAAGCTAAAATGGTTTGGTAAATTTTTAGTTATGCAATAATCAATAGTTTGCTATTAAACTTTCATTTCTTATGTAAGTCTATTGTGCATAGCTTTAAATGTACCGGTAATATTGTTTGGTAAATGCTCCCTGAGTCCAACAAAGGGAAAATATTTTCTCCTTCAAAGATTATCAGTGTCCAATTGATGGTCGTTACGTTTTCCTGATTGGGTGTAGAAATGGCATTTGACTAGCCAGAATCATAAAGCATTTTAAAGTGTTCATTTATTAGAATAAAAACAAAAAGAAAACACAAAGAAGTATGATAAAGACAAAACCTGTAGTCCTCTAGACGTTTTCAGAGCCCTTTCCCTCTAAGGATTGTTGCTTAGTCGCAGACCACCGGCTCTGAATGTAGAAGGTCTCAGGTTCATTCCATGGCAGTGCCAGTTAAGAGAAATATTTCTTTACCAGGAGTCCTAGAAAGCCACTGGCAGTCAGACTAGACAACAGAGCTAGATAAACCAGTGGCATGTTCACATTACATTCATAGGACCAAACCTTCACAACATGTGTGTGGGAACCATGTTATACTGCATGCTACTGTCAAGAACTTTGGTTCACTCAAAATGGAGTCTGCTTTAAAAATTTGGTTCAATCTGGCTGCGGCCTGCTCTTGTTAAAAATGTTGTCTTTAAGACTCCTTAGTTCACACAATCGTGCTGGAGAAGCGTGTCTGTCTCTGCACCTGCAAGATAAGATGTTCTCTTGTCCTTGGCTTGTTAACATTCCAAAGCAATTAAGTCCTGTGGGAAGGCCTGGTGCTGTGAAACTGCAGATCATGTCACCTGCTCTTCTGACATGACCAGAGACCAATCAGAAACCAGTGATATCACGCTTTCCTTGATTGGCCTCCTTGTATCTGGAAGACATTGTTTGAACCCTGATTGGTGCTCAGGCCTAATAACTGATCTGAGGTTCAGACAATAAATAACTTACCTTAACTCCTATTCAGGGGGCATGTTGGAGTTGCATGTGAAGCTGACATGTAACTCTGCCTTGCTCACCTTTTGGCCATCTTGGAAGCTCTGATTGCTGAAGCCAACCAGCCTGGCTTTTGGACTCTGGAGACGGACTACACTTGGACCCACAGCTGAATGGGCAGCATCTTGTCTTTGAGAACCAAGGTTCTATAAGTGTTTAGCTCGTTTGTTAATCTTTCGCTTTCGTGTTTTATCCCCCACAATATTATTCTACGTAATTTGCACTTTTTATTAATATACTCTGCACGTAAATAAATATATTTTATTCACCAATTCTGGTTTCTGTCTCCACTGCTGCAATAAGTTATCTGGTGCCTGAGACTGTTGGCGACTACCTCTAGAATAACCTGTGGGTCTCCTGCTGTGAGCCAGTCTCACAGGAAGGATTCCTAAGTTGAGTAAGGTCTAGAGTCTGTCCTTTGGCTCTGGACTGGAGGGACATAAAAGGACTGGTGGTAACACTACCTGGTTGAAGGTAAAACAGGTGCCTTTAACCCTTTTGTAGTTGTAGCTAGCCAGCCTCTTTGTGAAGAGAACTCCTAGCCTGGGTTGGGCAGGCAGAGGGGCTCTCTTTGACAGCTACGTATACCATTATAATTTCCCACAGTAAATTCAAGCTAGCCAGCAACCCTTGACCTGGGCTAAAGTACTCACTGTGTGTGTGTTTGTTCCATACTTCCTCCTGGAACTCTTGCTGTTCAGAAATGCCAGCAGCTCAACACATAACAAGTACAAAAACAAAACAAAACAACCCCCCCCTAAGCCATGTGGCTCAGGCAGGGGGGAGGGATCCTGGTTCCTGCCATTGTTTTCACATGACACCCCCGTTCCCCATGATGCAATGAAAAATTGGGCTTTCGCGTATATGAGGAAGAACCAGCCCAGTACAAGCTGTTCTGAGGCACATCAGCCCTGTAGGAAAGAGACTGGCTCTGCTTGATTGCTGGTGCTTGGTAACAAGTAGATTGCAGAGCAACTTTTAAACTAATTTCCAGGATGCTGTGACCTGACAGCTGGAGGGCATCAGTTGAACGGTTTGTCTAGACCAGCAGTCCCTACCAAGTGCTTTTAGAAGGTGGGTGAGGCCAAATGGGGCTTTTGGCCAGTAGGCCCTCTAGTTGGCCATGGAGAGTTTTTAAAAATGCTCTGGCAGTAGTTTACACACAGCATGGGTAATTGTGACTAAAGCCGAGTTTGTGCAAGAAAATATTCTCAGACAATAAATTCATTTCAAAAGGAGTCCTGCTAAAGAGTTTCTAGTAGACTTCATTCCCTGATGTTGAGGATGGGATTGGCTCCGCCTCATGTGGCAGCCATTTTGTGGCTGCTCCCACCAACCTGTGCCAGAATTCCAATGGTGCTCGCAGGCTCAAAAAGGTTGGGGACTCTTGGTGTAGACAAAGGCCTTGTGTTCATAAGGGAACAACACAGGGAGTTTGTGTCAGAGTTTTCTGCCTCCTCCACCCCCCAACACACCGGCTCTTTTCTGCTTGGGATCAAAGGCAGGTAAAAGGAGCTTTAGCCTCCCCCTCCCCTGCTATTTTTGTATTTTCAGACTGCCCAGTGGAGCAGCGAATGGCTTCAGTTGTAAAAGGTGGGTGTAGTTGTATAAGTAATGTGATTTTAACAAGGGAAGGGCAATTTGCGAAGGTGAAAATAGTAGGGGAGTTGAAACTAAAGCTGCTTCTCCCTGCTTGCTTTGGTCGCAAGCAGAAAATAGCTGGCGTGTGAGGAGAGGAAGCAGAAGTCCTTGTGTGATTCCCCAATGAAGACGAGGACTTTTTAATGTGTAGGTAAGCCCACAGGATGGCTTGAGCGTAAGGGGTGAGAGAGGTTAGCTGGGGCAGATAATCTAGCAGTATGTTGAGACTAGAGAAGCACGGAACCTTTAATGGAAACCCCCTGGGGAAATGAAGAGCAGGTTTTTTTAACCATACATTCAAGACAATTCCACAAATGTCCTCCAGTTGTGATGGTTGCAAAGGGCTTGAGATAAGTAGTACCAAAATCCACAGTCAGGGCTAGTAAAGTGCAGGTTAACCCCCCACCCCGACTTCCATTTTCTAAATGAAGATGGTTTACTCGGGTTATAAAAATAATTCTCTGCGCCACACTGTCAATTGCCAGACGAGGTAGGGAACCAGATGTCTTAAGCAAGTTGGAAAGAATAGAGCATCTGCCATTCTGTAACCGGACCCCATAAAAGGGGGTTCAGGAACCATCAGTATCAGAGCTGTTCTGGTCAAGCATTCAATCAAAATATTTTTGTCTCCAAAGCTGTGTCTGCTGCTGCACAGTTTGCCTTAAGTAGGCTCTAGGCCAAAAATGACTGATTTAAATACAAATTAAAAATAGATCTACAGTCCAATTGTTATTAGAACTATAAAGTGGATGCTGTTGCTAAAGGCGTTACTTACTGTCAATAGATCTGTGGGTTTATTATGGTTCACTGTATTTAATATTTTTCCAAACAGTAATTCCATATCTATGTTGTTGCTGTGTGTGTGTGTGTGTGTTTTGCCTAAGGAAAATTGTTGCCCCAGAATATTCCGAGATGGCCAAAGTGCTCATTTTAAGTGGTCAATTAAGTGTATAGAAGGCTGAAAATTAATTGGCTTAAAAAGTGGATAGTATAAATAGTTAATGCAGTTTATTTCTGTCATTTTTTATTTCTTCTCCCTCTCAGATCGGTGAATGCCCCCTTTTTTGCTATCTTGCTGTTTTCTGTCATTTTTTATTTCTTCTCCCTCCCTTTATTTCTTCTCCCTCCCTCACTCCCCCTTTTTTGCTATCTTGCTATAACTCCCCTTTAGTATTTAATTGTGTTTGTATTCACCAAGAATTTAACTGTTTATTGGGTTGGTTCCCATCAATCTGTTCCACTAGTGGAGGCTTTCCCTTGCACAAGAGGCTGAACCTCTGCTAGCAAAACGTATCTGTGGGACCAGCCCACTGTTTCCCATTTCCTGAGCCTTTTCTTTTCCGACATCCTTCCCCAAGACCCCTTGCTAGGTGCAGAGGCACGTTAGCATTTCTGGTGCTGCTTCGAAGGGTGGGCGGGGGAATCTCTAAGTTGTCATAATGTAGTATTTTCCCCTCCCCTCATTGTAAACAACTTTTTCCTTTCCTTTTTCAGGTGATTGAAGTTTATGACTTGACTAAAGTGAAGTTAAAATATTGGTAAGTAGTCATTCAAAGAAATTTCACTTTTGACAGCCTGCCCTTTGTACTAACCAGAGGCTATTGGATGGGACCAAAGTAGAGAGAGGAGTGAATTAAAACCATTACAAAGCCTTTGAGCTAGAAGAGGGTGATTATGGGATTGAGTTGGATGCCAGGTTGTTTGTTGACTTGCTTGGTTGTCTTTGTTTCAAAAGTCCTTGGCCGTGGATGTGGGAGAACCAACTGTAAAGCTATCTTTGGGCAAGTGATTAACTAACCTCCCTTCTGTGGTGGCTGAAAAACTAGACAAAACAATCATACAACATGTCATGCACCAGTGCTATTGTGTTTGAAGTTGTGACTTCATTGCTCAACCCTACTCTGAATAGAATTGTGGGAACAATGATGTTTTCTGGAGAAATCCACCCCAATATTTAGTTTGCTGCAAGGCATATTTGTTCGCCACAGTTTACTCTCCTGTGGTATCTAAAAGGGTGATATCGTTTCCAGCTTGAATGATTACATTTAGAAGGCTGCAGTTAGAGAATCTGGATTAAGCGTGCAGGTGCAGAAGGGTCCCATGCGCTCATGTGAAATGTTCTTGGTTCACTGTGAAGTGAATACATGTTATAGCTAGCATGGAACTTACCAGTCCTCAGATCACTAGAATCTAGAGTTTGTTCTTCCAGTGGGCAAAAGAACTTAGGGCACAAGCCTTATGTCTGGCTTGTACTAGTTTAACTGCCATGTCTTCCCCCAGATTGTTCCAGCTGTTGTTTGGTGAGGTTGCTGAAAATTCTCTGTTAAGAGATCTTTGTCTTCCAGGGGCACTCCAGTTCCCATGGTTCTAGGTGGGACATTTTGCCCTGAGTGCACCTTAATGCTTTGCATTTTTTCCTCTTCTGAGACATTTCCTATGAATTAATTTTGTGTGTTGCCGGTGTAAGAGTGTGGCGAGGACGCTCCCCATAATAAAAAGTGGAGCTTGGCTTTGGAAAATGGATCAGTTTCTCTCTTTCAGAGTGTCTTAGTCTGCTGAATGAAGCAAGTGGTTGAAACAAAAAGCCACTCCTTTCTGTGCATAAAAATGTTCTGAGTGTGTTTCTTGAGTGGATTTTTCTTGGTGACGTTCCAAAAGGATTTCATAATTCCAGGGTGTCATTGAGTGTGTCTGGGAATAACCTTTGCCTCAAGCTCCTGATCTTCACAGTGGGAATAACAAGTTGTCTTCCCCGGGCAGCTGTGAGGACAGAGGCAATCAAAACAGATTGTGAAGCTCAAGGATTCTTGATGCACTTGTCTATATCGAGGATGATTCACTAGTGTATAGCATAGAGTATCTGCTGATTCTGAGGCTTTCTTTTTTCCTTTTGCTAGTGGTGTACATTTCAACTCTCAGGCTATTGCTCCAACCATAGAACAAATTGATCAGTCGTTTGGGGCAACACATCCAGGAGGTGAGTTATCACTTGCAGATTTATGTGCATGTGGAGACATGATTTACTGGCTCCATGGGAACCCTAGGTGTTCATTGGAGGCTGAGAGTCCAGAGAGTTAACAGACTTGTTCACAAATCTTGAATGTATGCACCTGTGATCTTAATGGTTTCTAAATTCTGTGCTACCCCTGTGTCCTGCATGTAGAACTCTGCTCAGGAAAGCAAGAAACCTGCTTGGAGGCCAGCTGCCTCATCGTCCCATTTGGTCCCTGCTGTTCTTTGCAGTGGATGGTCACAAGTCTGACCTCTGCTGCCGAATTTCCCAGGAGTCAGCACTTGTGGCCTTTACCAAATTCCTGAACTAGTTTGTTAGCGGTGTTGGCCAGTCACATGAGATAACACACTTTAATGAGCCACCAATGTTTTGGAGGCCCTGCCCCAGATGGCCCAGGCTAGCTCAGCCTCATCCGACCTCGGAAGCTAAGCAGGGTCAGCCCTGGTTAGTACTTGGACGGTAGACCACCCAAGGAAGGCTGGGGTTGCTACTCAGAGGCAGGCAACGGCAGACCACCTCTGAACATCTCTTGCCTTGAACCCCTACAGGATTGCCATAAGTCAGCAGTGAGTTGGTGGCTAAATTAATTAATTGATTGATTAATTAATGTTCCAGGGGCATGCAGTGGGTTGGATGCAGACTAAAGAGAGCCAGTTTGGTGTAGTGGTTAGGAGCGCGGACTCTAATCTGGGAGAACCGGGTTTGATTCCCCACTCCTCCACATGCAGCTGCTGGTGTGACCTTGGGTCAGTTAGAAGTTATTTCAGAGCTGTTCTCTCAAGAGCAGTTCTCGAGAGAGCTCTCTCAGCCCCACCTACCTCACGGGCAGTTCCCTCTAAGCTGAGTTAGTGTGAGCTAGCTCACAGTTTTTTATCGTCTGGCTCACACATTTTTGCCTTGGCTCAGGAAGGACGGCTCCAGAGCAAACTAATTTATGCAGTAGCCAACTCACCTGCTCACAACTTTAATGCCAGTAGCTCAGAAAGTAGAATTTTTGCTCACGGGACTCTACAGTTTAGAGGGAACATTGCAGGGTGTCTGCTGTGGGGAGAGCGAGGGAAAGGAGATTGTAAGCCGCTCTGAGACTCCTTCAGATAGTGAAGGGGGCGGGATATAAATCCAGTCTCCTCTCTTCTCTCCTCTCTCCTCTCTCCTCTCTTCTCTCTTCTCTCTTCTCTCTTCTCTTCTCTTTTCTTCTCTTCTCTCTCTCTCCCCCCCCCAATTTCCATTGATTTCCTGCAGCATACCCCCTCAGATAGTTACTCAGGGACCCCTATCTCTGCCCCATCCCTGGAGCAGCATTTCATGGCGATCAGTGGGGTGGAGGGATGCAGGAAAGTTCCATTCCACTGATGGAAAATTTAGTCTAGATCCAACCCAATAGATGCCCCGTGAAAACTGAAGATGATGTACTGTCCGTATATACTTGATTTCTGCCCTGTGATGTGCATTCCCTTTGCTTTCCCCACTGTCATCTCCAGTCAAACAGGCTTTGTGGGATTCAGTATTGCTTCAGAAAGCTGCAAACCCTGTTTCCCCGAAGATGACAATGAGACAAAAGAAATGAGTGTGTACAGTCGGAAATCACCTGTCAACTCTCTTTGGAAAACATTGTCTGCCTACAGTCAGAGTTGCACATGGATTTATTCCCAGCGAGAGAAAAGGCAATTTGGTGGTGGTAGTGTATTTTCTTTCCTGTTGATGCATTTATTTGTGTCTCCCTGTGTGCTCCCCACCCATCTCATTTGCTTAGAACTACAGAAAGAAACTCTAGCAGTAAGGTTTTTTTGTGATGGGAGGGGGCTGTGCCTTTAAATGCTGTCTCTGTCTTATTTCCCACCCATGCAGACCCTTTGCCTGCAGGTTTAATTCCATGAACTTTACCAAATGTTTCTCATCCCCTCTGATGTTTTTGTGTAGTCTGGGTCTGTTCTGAAGGTGCTCAAATTACAGTTGTCAGACAGCGCTCTCCAGACACAAGCCTTTTGTCCTTTAAACCATAGCAAGCATTCCCATAGACAGGAGCTGATAGGCTTGCATAATTAGATGTCAAGCTCAGCTAGGCTAGTAAAGATGCCTCATGTTCAAAAGCCCTGATTTATCACGAGAGAGAGGTTTAAGTGACTATCTTACTATAAGCCTAAATGGAAAAGCAAAACAGTGCTTATAGCACTTTCTCCAGGGGATCTGAGGAATGCAGGATTCATGAGTTAGGAGTTTCCACTGGTGGATGAGGCCAAGGCAAACTGATTGCGATGATGGTAGTGCTTACTGTTTGCCTAGTGCTTTTCCTATATTCTTCGCACGGGCTGCAGTCCCACACTACAATAATCCATAGTTTGTCAGCCACGGTTTGAGTGAATTCTGGTTGTGTATGGTATCAGAATACAGGCTGCCAAACAAACGGTGGTTTGTTGGCAGGTGCTAAACAAGGACTCCAAACCATGGTTTGTTCCAGTCTTGTTAACTGGTTTGTACTAACTGTGATTTGGCCATGACATCTCAGCGCAGTTCGTTCAGCAGCACCACTATCTTAGCTTCCTTTCAAAGGGCACTCTCTCCCACTTTCCCCCTCTGCCTTTTTTCTGGGGGCTCCCCCATTTTACTAGTGACAGTTTCACCCAGCAGAAGTGTGTTTCAGAGGGATCAGCCTCTTCAGAGGGGAAATTTAAAAGGAGGGCAAGATAAGTGTGTGGGGGGGGACACTGGAAAAATATGAATATATGAAGCTGCCTTACAATGAATCAAACCATTGGTCCACCACAGTCAATATTGCCTACTCAGACAGCAGCAGCTTTCCAGGGTCTCAGACAGATGCCGGGGATTGAACCTGGCTGGGACCTTCTGCATGCCAAGCAGATGCTTTGCCACTGAGCCACAGCTTTCAACACATGGACACGTGAAGCTGTCTTATACTGAATTGGACCCTTGGGCCATCAAAATCAGTATTGTCTACTCAGACTGGCAGAGGCTCTCCAGGGTCTCAGGCAGAGGTCCCTCTCATCACATACCACATGATCCGTAGTGCAGATGCCTGGGATTGAACCTGGGACCTTCTGCATGCCAAGCAGATGCTGTTCCACTGAGCCATGGGCCTCTCCCTTCAGAGTGTTACAGAGTGGGAGGCTGATGATCCTTAGCAAAGCAGAAGCCTTGAATTACTTCTCCCCCCTCCCATTTATTGCAGCTGACCAATAGCGAGCAGGCCAAATACATGGTGAGATTTTACCAGTAGCCTGGCAGTTCAGGGGAGCTCAGAATAGCACTTTTCTGCTTGAAGGTAGGAAAGGAGACAAGCAGCAGACTGACCGGGATTTATGAACTATCTGTGGTTTTTTAATGTCCAGTAGGCTCACCAGGAGTTGTGCAACCACAATTTATTGTGACATCTGAATGCAGCCTTACATCAGCTTGATAGTCTTTACCTTACAGGCAGTGTTCCCTCTAAGCTGAGTTAGTGTGAGCTAGCTCACAGTTTTTTAGCCTCCAGCTCACAGATTTTTGTCTCTGCTCAGGAAGGATGGCTCCAAAGCAAACTAATTTATGTAGTAGCCAAATAGCTCTCTCACAACTTTAATGCCAGTAGCTCACAAAGTAGAATTTTTGCTCACAAGACTCCACAGCTTAGAGGGAGAATTGCTTACAGGGTTGTTGTAAGATGAGTTTTATCCCTTTCTTATAGATAAGGGGGCTGAGAGTGAGACTGAGGTTGGCTTGAGGTTGCCAAGGGAGGAGGAGGTTATTTGTAGAGAACTTTCCATAGACACTGCAGAATTCCATAAACAGAAACCACTCTTAAGGGACATTTCAGTTTAAACCAGAGGCGTTGAACTCATTTGTTACAAGGTCCAGATCTGACATGAACGTTACTTTCTCGGGCCAGGCCATGTGTGCCATAAAACGTAATGTCAGATAGATACTGGATATATAAACTTTATAAATGATACAGGCAAACCGAATTAACAATATTATTTTTACTTAAAATACAAACAAAAACTATTGATGCCTAGGAGTGAAAGCAACTGATTTACTGGGGAACCCACAAAAGCCCCAATAAATGTATTTAATCATACGCAAGACTAGGTTTTTTCAAAGAGATACCATAAAAGGGGGGCGTCTTACATTTCCATACAAATTGGTTACTTTTTGTATATATAGCACTTTTAGGAGACGAGTAAATAAGGCAAGCAAATGAGGTAGTTTTCCAGCAGCTGCACCCAATGCACCCAGCCTCAGTAGCTGAGCATGGCTATGATCCATCTTTAGCTCATTGTTTCCTCTCTTCCTCCTGAGGATCTTGAGGAAGCACACTGGACTTCCTCCTTCACTGCCCCATCCCCACCAACAACCCTGTGAGGTGGTCCAGGCTCACCGATTGGCCCTGAGTGACAGACAACAGGGTCTTGATTCAGGAGGCGGGGGGAGGGGGTCTGACTCTGGCTCTCCCAGAGGGCCCCCCCCCCAGTTCTCATCTCTCCTACATTTCCCTCAGAAGTGGTGGGGCTTGAGGGGAAGGCCTGACAGAGAAGCTGTTTCTGAAACCTCCAAGGGGTGCTTTTTGTCCTCCTGTTACCCCTTTTCCCTCATGGGCTGAGAACAAGTGGGGGGGGAGAAGGGAGGTCACCATACCCCACCCTCCCTGACACTTATGCTGCCTCCTGTCTCCACGGCTGTTCATAAATACAGTGGCAATGGCAGCTCCCCTTTTCTTTTTCACTCCTCCATTCACTTCCGGAAATAAAGCTGAAGTAACTGCAGCCAGTTTTTTAAATAAAGCAGTTTTAAAAACGAGTTTTCTAATGATACCATAGTGAAATTTAAAAGGTGAGCTGATATTTGGTAGTGCTATCTTTGACTTCATGAAATGTTTGACTGCATCATATAATAGGGACCAGCCTACCTAAGGGACCATATGTTCCCCCAAGGGCACTACGGTCGGGGAGCCGGAACCTATTGGATGTACCGGGTCCCCAGGCCATCAAGCTGACCATGACCAGGAACAGGGCATTTTCAGTGGCGGCTCCTATCTGGTGGAATGAGCTCCTGGAGGAGATCAGGGCTCTGCGGGACCTAACACAGTTCCGCAGAGCCTGCAAGACGGAGCTCTTCCGCCAGGCTTTTGAATAGGAGCCGCCACCACCACAACGCATCAGTTTACCATCAACGCCCTGAAATTCCTGGAATCCCTGGAATTTCCGGTATATGGACATCTGGATATGGGCATAGACCATTAAAGCCCTAAAAAAGCACCGTGAGCGAGAATGGGACATTCAGAGGACTGCCATCCTGTTTTTAGATAGCCTTGCTTTTAGATAGGCTATAAATTGTGATGAATTTTTAATATTTTGTATTGTTTTTACTGTTTTATTAGCTATATGCCTGTTAGCCGCCCTGAGCCTCCGGGGAGGGCGGGATAAAAATGTAAATAATAAATAAATAATAGTCCGGTGACCAGACCAGTCATAGTGGGACTAAACTGACCTCATCTTAATGGTTATGGATGATAATGCTCAGTAGCAGTGTCCACACCTTAATTATGCAAATAAGTATTTATTTGAAAAATATTCTGCTTTAAAATTCTTAACATCCGAGGAAAATGGTGGTAGAGTAGATTAATGGGGTTGTGCAGATGTGACAGATGTGCCCAGTCTAACCAGGGTTAGGAGATAGTGTGCCATAGGTTGGTTAACAAACCCTATATCATTCATTTGTTGAAGCAAAAAATAAGTGGATATATCGGATCAAGGAGGCTGTAATCCACAAAGACTGATGCCAGAATGGAAATGTGTTGCTCTTTCATCTCAAGGTTTCAGTTTATTTTGTCATTAGCTTTGATCCATCTACAACGCTATCCTTTTATTCAAGCAAACTATGGAAAGGCAGGAGAATCCTCATGGGAGGGGAGGGAGGTCATGCCCCCAAGACTTGCTTCTGTTATCTCAGTTGTAGTTTAGGAAAATTACCTCTACATCAGACCTTTGTGGGCTTAGTGGTGCTTCACCTTGGCTTGGAGGCGTTGTAGTAGAAAGTACATTATCTGTTGTTTGCTTAAAGTATTTATACCCAGCCTGCTCACCCACGGGTTTCCGAAGGCAGCTCCCTATATGGTTTCTTCAGTTCTACAGATACTATAAACGGGTTGAGAACAAAAGAAGACTTTTTCAAAGCAGCAAAAGGCATCTCCTCTTTGAACATTGGGAAATAGCCTCCCCAATTCCATAGCCTGCTCCTTCCGCAAATGTCCATGTTTAATTTAACTGTTCTAAGACAAACAGAATTTCTAGCTATTAGTTGTTATGTGTTGTCAAGTCACGACTGACTCATAGTGACCCCAAGACCATGGGGTTTTCAAGACAAGGCCGTTTGCTGGTTTGCCATGGCCTTCCTCTGTGCAACAACCCCAGTCTTCCTCGGTGGTCTCCCATCCAAGTTCTAACCATGGCCAACCCTACTTGGGTTCCAAGTTCTGATGAGATCAGGGTAGTTTGGGCTACTAGGCTGCTGAAGCTCTACCTACTGATATCATCTTTCACTCTGTTTTATGAAAGTTTGGGGCATGTGCCTGTGACGTTCTCAATGAATCGATGCCACTGATGTATCGAAAAGGGGGGGGGGAATACTGTTTGTTTTAATGTGTGTGTATGTTCCTTTCCTCCTCCTCCTAGTGTACAACTCAGCGGAGCAACTTTTCCACCTCAACTTCAGAGGACTGTCTTTTTCCTTTCAATTGGACTCATGGACTGAAACTCCCAAGTATGAGGTCAGAAATTGACTTACTTAAACAAATAACTTTGCTTAGCCAAGTCGACGGTGTGTTTTGAAACTCTTTAACAATAAATCTCTTCTTTTGCCATAGTTAATTATTTGTGAGATATGTGGCATTCCTCCTCAGCTTGGTTGAGACGTTACAGGTCTTACTCTTAAACTGTAGGACTGAAGCCAGACGGAAGTTTTCTGCTAATGGAAGGGAAAGTTTCCCCAAGTTCCCCCTTCCTGCTGCAGACCCCCGATTTGTCCCTCCTGCCATTCCTGGGGGTCCCCCTGTCCTCTGGGGAGATCCTTGGCTGCAGAGGGAAGGGCGGAGGCAAGACGGCTCTGCTTCGGTTAGGGGAATCTGCCTTCTGTTAAGCAGAAATTTAGTTTCTGTAGATTTTCCGGGATGTGTGGCCATGGTCGTGGCATTGTAGAACCTGACGTTTCGCCAGTAACTGTGACTGGCATCCTCAGAGGTATAAACACAGAAAGATGGAATACTCTCTGTGTCAAGGTGAGAAGAAAATGGTAGGCCGTAAATATATATCTACTCCACAAGGTGGGTAGGGCTGAGTCGTTGTCTTGTAGGAGTTACTGGTGAAACGTCAGGTCCTACAATGCCAAGTCCATGGCCACACATCCCGGAAAATCTACAGCAACTAATGAACTCCAGCCGTGAAAGCCTTCGACAAGCAGAAATTTGTTGGGATCTGACCCATGGTCTGGCAGTCGTGAATACTCCACTGGCACTTTTGCTCATTCTTCCCCCTGCCCCGTGGCTCAGGCTTTCCTGCTTCTCCTGCCTCGATCCTTTTCTGGTCAGCAAGTGGCTAAGGATAAATGTAGCGTCTGGGTCATTGTTGCCACTGGCCATGATTGGACCTCAAACCAGAGAGAGAAACCTTGGTTAGTAGGGGATATCATAATGCCACTTCATAGATCATGATAAATTACAGCTCCCACTTACCAGGAACAGGGGTGTGGGGTGGGAGACGTCATCTTGCAGGCCCACAAAATGCAACCAGTCTTCAAACCATGCTTTGACAGTTGGGCCCTCTGAAGACTGAACCGAACCTTAGAATTTGTAATAGTGACCTTCCAGAGCTTATTCAGTTGAACAAGAAACAGGCTGCAAAAGAAAGAATACCCTCCCTCCGCCTACTCTTGTGATTGCGACTCAGAAGTTGTAAAACATTTTCATGAAAATTAAGGCAGTTTTTCTTTTCTTTTGGTAATGCATGTTGCAGGCTGGGTTAACCTTTAAAGTTCAGCGCGTGACCCAGTTAAATTGGGGAGGGACCCCGCGATGTGAGAATGCTCTAGGACTATCCCGGCAAGGAGTAACTTTCCTTCCTTTGCTTTGAATTACGTTCCATTTTAAAATGTGGAATGTATCTCAAAACAAGAAAGCACCAGCCCTGTTTCCAGTTCTGAGAACTGCTAGACCTAAGAACATCAGAAGAGCCCTGCTGGATCAGACCTGTGCTCTGTCTGTTTAGTCCAGCGTCCCATCTCACACAGTGGCCAAGCAGATATTCCAGAGGATAATCTGCCAGCGAGAGTTGCAGAAATCTCACTGTACTTAGAAACAGGCAACAAGGGGAATGCTGGCTCCGTCTTTTGGCAGCCACATGCAGAGAACAAATGCAACTGGTAAAGCCCCAGCAAATACTTTGGGGTCATCTCGTTTTGCCACCAGCAGGCAACCCCTGCCGCAAGATACTCCATGGAGGTTTTAATTTTAATTTTACAGTGCAAGAGAGGTCAAGTTTCGGAGGTCTTTGGAGATCCCCTCCAATTGCACTTGGTAACAGTTCTGACATTTTTATGCAGTGTTGTCCTGCAATCAAAAACATCTTTTTTTGGTTCATATTATCATATATGGTGGAGGTGCGAAAAATTAGTTAAATTTTGGAAAAGTATAAAGCAACTAATTGCGGAAATAGTGGAAATAGATCTCGCGCTAGACCCAGAAATATATTTGTTAAATATGTTACCAGAAGGGATAAAGTATAACGATACATGTTTGATTCTATACATTCTTACTATTTCCAGAATTCTTATAGCTAAATGTTGGAAATCAGATAACATTCCAAGAAGAGAAGAATTAATTATAAAGATTATGGAAATAAAAGAAATGGACAAACTAAATATGATTTTGTCAGGAAAAGATGAAAATGTGTTTAAAAAAAGATGGCAGAAAGTCGATGGTTGGTTAGAAAAAAATAGGTAAAGGAAACTCCGAAGTATGATGTACATGAGTATACTTTTGTGTTGTTTTTGTTATGGAAAATATTTAAATAAACTTTTTTTTAAAAACCATCTTTTTTTTGCTCTCCCTAGCCAAACTTTGCCCATGGCCTAGCTTCTTTGCAAATTCCACATGGTGCAACTGTGAAACGCATGTACATCTATAGTGGAAACAGTCTGCAGGATACCAAGTAGGTGACCTCTTGGATTGTGATCTTCTGTCAGTCACGTTGTGTGCATGCAAATCTGCAAACACTAGTTGTGCTTGGATCTTATTCTCAAGTATTTCCATAGGTTTGCCTAGTCTTTTGTTCAAGCAAGCCAGCTTGTATGCTTAAATGTTGGGCTAGTAATGGGTTTGCAGACATATCTCCCAAATATGAACTCACTAAAGCTTTAGCTGATCTCCAAGAATTATTCGCAGGCTGAAGTCTACTGAGATAACTTCTGTTTAGAAGTCACATGGTAAGACATTTGAAGAGAGATGCTGTAAGCAACTTCTCTGCAGTCTACTACTTTCCCATAACCTGAGCTATTTTAACTGAAGATCGTGGGGGCTGAACCTGGGACCTTCTGCATGCAAAGCAGATGCTCTGCCACTGAGCCACAGCCCCACCCATTGCCGCTGGCATAGAAAAGTAAACAGGAAAAAGCTTCTGTTTGAGACCTTGTGTGCCTTGTTAGTGGTTTTACATAAGAACATAAGAAAAGGTTCTGCTGGATCAGACCAGTGGTCCATCTAGTGGCCCAGTGGCCAACCAGTTCCTCTGGAGGGCCAACAACAGAGCATAGAGGCTGAGACCTTCCCCTGATGTTGTCTCCTAGCACTGGGATTCAGAGGTTTAGTGCCTCTGAATGTGGAGGTTCCCCTCAGTCACCATGGCTAGTAGGCACTGCTAGAGAGCGAGAGCGAGACTGGATTTATACCCCGCCCTTCACTAGCCGAAGGAGTCTCAGAGTGGCTTACAATCTCCTTTCCCTTCCCTTCCCCACAACAGACACCCTGTGAGGTAGGTGAGGCTGAGAGAACTCTTTCAAGAACTGCTCTTTCGAGAACAGCTATTGTGACTGACCCAAGGTCACACCAGCAGCTGCATGTGGAGGACTGGGGAATCAAACCCAGTTTTCCCAGTGTGTCTAATCCCCTTTTAAAGCTGTCTATACTGGTGGCCATCACTATATCCTCTGGCAGCGAATTCCACATCTTAATGACTCTCTGGGTAAAGAAGTATGATCTTATCATTGCAGGGCTCCCATGATGCCCCTCAGCTGTTTCCTTGGAAACGTCTATGCAGAGAATGTTGACGTTCTGAGAGATGGCACTGGACCCTCAGGTTTACGGCTTCGCTTACTCACTGCAGGTATAACGTCTGAGGAGAGACATCTGTGCACCTCTTTCCATTCAAAGGCACAACCACAGACGTGACCATGCATAGCGTGATATTTATGTCAACACATTTTGAGGGCATTGATTCGTCTCAAAAACTTGCTTCCAAATTCTCCCTCTGCTGTGCCACAGTGAGCTCTAATGTCCTAGGAAATATCACTTCATTTATTTCCAAACTCACTGTGATACCCTTACCAGCAATTATAAGCGTGATGGTGGGGAGGCAGGATGAGCTGGAGGTGAGTTAGGTTTGCTGGGGTGCTTAGCTGACTTTATCGCTGAACATCATCAAACTATATTTGGGACAGCCCTTCTATTTATGCACAAAGGTTCTGCCACAGGGATTCTGAACCCTTTTGAGTCTGCAGGCCCCTTTGGAATTTTGACACGGCGTGGTGAGAGTAACTAAAAAAAATAAACATGGCAGCCACAGAATACATGCTGAAGAAGCTGGAGCCAGCCACAGAATGACTGCTGGGGGACACCTTCAAGTCACACAGTGAAGGTCCTTGTGTGGTGGTGGCAGCTGCTGGAAAAGCACATTTTTTAAAAAGTCTGCACAACCAGTTAAATCTTCCATGGCCAATCAGAAGCCTTGCCGGGCAAAAGCCCCACTAGACCCCACGCACTTTCTAAAAACACTTGGCGGCAGTGCTCCCTCTAAGCTGTGGAGTCTTGTGAGCAAAAATTCTACTTTGTGAGTTGCTGACATTAAAGTTGTGAGCAGGTGAGTTGGCTGCTGCATAAATTAATTTGCTCTGGAGCTATCCTTCCTGAGCGAAGACAAAAATGTGTGAGCCGGAGGCTAAAAACTGTGAGTTAGCTCACACTAACTCAGCTTAGAGGGAACACTGCTTGGCGGGCACCAGGAAAGATGTTAACAAGTGCCATGGAGCCCCCAGGCACCATGTTGGGGACCCCTGTTCTCCCACTTAGCTGCTCATAGTCAGTAAAATCAAGGATAGACCTCCAAATTCTAAATACTCAGGAACTGTTGACTTAATCTAAAGGTACGATAGTACATACAAAATAGCATAAGTTCATGTACAAGTACATTGAAGCCTGTGGCTACTAAATTACCAGAATAACACAGCACACACTCACAGAAACACTTCTTTATTAGCCTCAGTAATAATATTAGTTGTAGATTTTCTGGGCTGTATGGCCGCAGTCTTGGCATTGTAGGGCCTGACGTTCAGAACTCCTACAAGATCATGACTCAGCCCTACCCCACCTTCCTGAGTAGATATAAATTACCTGTCTACCATTTTTCTTCTCACCTTGACACAGAGAGTACTCCATTACACCTCTGTGTGAAGAATGGAGACTCAAAAGAGACCAAAAGTGGCAGCGGAGGGAGGGAGGGAGCAGTGTGGAAAGTGGCAAAAGGAAAAGCAGGAGTGTGAAAGGGGCAAAAGAGAACAAAGAGAACAAGGGAACTTTAAAAAAGGAGAAGGAAGGTATGCGAATTGAGTCAGGAAGCAGGGCAGAAAATAGGTGCCAGGAAACACATTTGGCGGGTGCTAGAATGCTTGTAGTCACCATGTCAGGATTCACTGCACTGGGGCAATCTGGCGAAATGTTGCAGGCAACGCATATATTTGGGGGTTTGCTGTGAAATGCCCTAAGGTCCTTTCTGCATTTGCCTGCCACTCTGGATTTTCTCTGTGTTCAAGTCAAGGCGATTTAAGTCCACTGCAAAACAGCATCCAAATAACCCGGGGCAACAGCAGGATGAAACTGGGCTGTCCACTGAAGGGAGGTAATGTAATGCAGATTGGGGGGGGGGACCCAGAATAAAAACAAGATTGAACTCTATTTTAGTGCAGAATTGGGGGGGGGGGACCTGGATTAAAAAGGTTGAATTCGATTTTAGTGCACAACTGCTTGGAGGACACTGCAGTGAGCATGGATTAAAAGGAGAGCACAGAAAGGGCCTAAAATAGGGTAGGACGGGGCAGGATTACAAGTACAGAAACGCAGCAACAATAAAACCAAGTCAGCCCTTCCACATTTCAGGTTGTGGGGAAATTTTCCATTGAAGATTCTTCCCATTTCTGACCATGCGATGCCCTTTTCCCATGGTATTTTCCTGCAAGATTTCAGGATATAATGGCATATGTCTGAGAATCTTGGGAATGTAGTGGAAAAGACTTTTGTTTTTATCAAGTTGGGGGGGGGGCGAACAAGCAATTTAAATGGTGTTGGGTTTAAATGAGTTTTGAACAGCAAGTTCAGGGTTAGCTTATTTGCAGCCAATGTAATAAATTATGTTTACTGGTTTAGCTAATCTTATTGCCTCTCATCCTGTTCTTTTGAAGGTTAGTACCACAGAAGTAACTTTTTGATTGTGCTTAGAATTTTTAAAGAAGGAGATTAAGACTGTAGACAACTTTAAGTGAATTTTGCTTCTGTCTTTACAGAGAAGGAGAAAGGAGAGATGTCTAGGACAGGGAACGTGTATCCTGGCATAGTAGGAAGGAGTTAGCTAATGTCCAGATAATATAATTGGTTTTGAGAAGGCACTTTTTCAAGATAAAAGTGTGAGGTCTAGGTAACGTACATGCCTGAGATTTAAAGAGAACCTGTTAGCTGCTTATTAGTTTTATATATTGTGGATGAAATCTTGCATACTAAAACTGTATTTGTGAACCAAATGGACCTTGAAAAAAACCTGAATTTTAAATAAAGTGGGTGTAGATCGTGTGTATGTCTCCAAAGCTCCTAGTGTTAAAATGGAGCACTGTGTGTGTGGGGGGGGGGAAGAATTACAATGATCAAAAATGTGATTATTATACAAATGTTCATCTAAATGTATGCATGCTGTGCAGTTCTGTCATTGACTCATAATGTTCAGGTGTAGCATTATACAGATACTTTGTTGCAACATTAGATGTTCAAAGGCACAGGTAATTAATAAAGGATAAAAACCTTCCAGAATCATAATTTACAGTACAGTTCTTAACAGAATCAGAGTATGAGAGCATTTTTATAGAATAGTCCTCATGCAATGATTTTAAACGTTATGCCATTAATATTATTGGCTTGGAATCCCTCCTTTGGGCAGAAAGGCAGGATATATATATTGTAAATAAATAAACTCTAAACGTTTTTTGTGGGGGGGACTTCTGCCTGTTTCTCACTCGCATGGCAGACTTCCAATATCCCCTGATATTATTCCCAGGGACCCCCTAGGGGCAGCATGAGGGAGGAGCATTTCAGTCTATGACATTTCCTTTTAGTTAGCTACATGCTAGGCTTCAGATAGTATAAATATCTCAGAAACGTGGAACACCATAAGTCACTAATAGTTGACTTCTTTTTTTTCTAGGTTGCGGCCCTGGTGTATTAGCTGATGCCAAGATGCGGGTATTTGAGCGCTGTGTGTATTTTGGTGATTCGTGCCAAGATGTTCTGAGCACTTTGGGGTCTCCTCACAAAGTCTTCTACAAGTCAGAAGATAAGGTGGGGTCAACAGCAGCAAACATTAATGCAGATTTGTAACTTATTAACATTGGTGGTGGTGGAAAGTACCATCAAGTCATAGCTGATCTATGGCAACCCTGTAGGGTTTCCAAGGCAAGAGATGGTTTGCCATTGCCCGTCTCTGCATCCTGACCCCGGTATTCCTTGAGTGTCTCCCATCCAAATACTAGCCAGGGCCAAACCTGCTTAGCTTCTGAGATCTAATGAGATCAGGCTAGCCTGGGCCGTCCCGGTCAGGATTAATTAGCACACTAAAAAAATTGAGTAGGCTAGCCACACTTTTCGATACCAAGTGCTTAAAGCTCCCTAATAAATACTCCCTTTCCAAGTGTCCTGGGTCTTCTGCTCCAGGATATGCCATTCCTAACTCTAAACAGGGGTCTCCTGTTTGGTGTAGTGGTTAAGTGTGTGGGCTCTAATCTGGGAGAAGCGGGTTTGATTCCCCACTCCTCCACTTGCACCTGCTGTTGTGACCTTGGGTCAGTCACAAGCTCTGGCACAGCTGTTCCTGAAAGAGCAGTTTGTGTCAGAGCTCTCTCAGCCCCACCCACCTCACAGGGTGTCTGTTGTGGTGAAGGGAAGGGAAAGGAGTTTGTAAGCTGCTCTGAGACTCCAAGTGAAGGGCGGGATATAAATCCATCTTCCTCCTCCTCCTCCTCTTCTTCTTCTCTACCCCACCCTTTGCCTATGTGATCTCCCAAACCCAAAGAGTCCATTGTATTTATTTATTTTTGTCTCACAAGCAGATGGCAATCCTGTGTCAGAACTATACCACTTTGAAATTTCAGATTGCAGCCAGAGGCTCATATGATGAAAACAGGCCTCCATGAAAACCAGCCCTGCATGTAGAAAGCTTGCAAGTTGTGACCAAAAAAAAATTGCGCAGTACACCTGCTCTTTGACATGCTGGCTTTCTGTGCATAGGGAATTTTTTTGCAGGAAGGAGCATTGCAAGACCGCTTCTACAGTGGGAAGGGGAAGGAAAGAAGAGGACTTTTACATTTTTCTAGGAGGAAAAATAGAAAAAACCTGAACAAAAGATGGAGCCAAGAGCATTGTGGGGTTGAGGAGAGACCTTTCACGAGTGCCATGTAAAGTGTTAGGAGACGGAGGAGACACCCCCCACATCCTGATTATGCCAAGTTGCATTCATTGTCTCCCAGATGCTGAAATTACCCAGTGACGATGATGATGGCTGTTGGGTCTGAGCAGCATTCTTGTTTCTTCCATGGAGAATGTTTATGCCATTGCCAGCCAGACGAAACTGGACAGACCCAACTTAGTTTGAAAAGAGGTTTTGTCTCCACGCTCCCGGTAGGCTGAATTGTGGTTTTCTTTGCAGATGAAAATTCATTCGCCATCCCCTCACAAGCAGGTTCCTTCCAAATGCAATGACTACTTCTTCAACTACTTCACACTGGGAGTGGTAAGCTGCAAATTTTCAAAGCAATTGCTATCCGGTGGAGCTTATGTAACTTTCGAAACACCCAGAATGTGTTAAGTAATTTATGTGGGAGCCAATATCATATGAATCCTTAATTGCTGTTTGCTGGGAGCTCTGAATCTTATATTCTTTCTTTCTTCTCTTCTATCCTTGTCTGTTTGGTTAATGACACATGAACTCCATCAGGGTGTCACAGAGCACGTTGTACATAATTGATATTCATTGTGCACAAAATAAAACCTCGCTCCTTCAGACACAAAACGCTCTTGAGGAAAAACAGTGCCGGAAGGAATCTCTGCCTTGTCGATCAGCAGAGCCTCTTGTAGGGGGAAATGGGACGGAAGAGAGAAACTGTGCTCAGCTCCTTTAAACCCCCAAATCTGGCACCCACAGCTGTTCAGAACAGCATTTCCACTCAGCATCTCTCGAAAAGGCTCATGAGATCAGGTCTAACAATCGTGACCTGAAAAATATTTCTTCATTGGTTTCTGATAGAAATCCGTGCTGAAATTGTTGCTCTGGGGGATGTTCCCACCTGCAGTGTACATCACAAAGCTCTGCTGATTCATGGGTAATTGTTTCAGTCATTTCATTTGTGGCCCCCTCCCCCCATTTTCACTTGCAGGATATCCTTTTTGATGCAAATACCCACAAAGTGAAGAAATTTGTCCTACACACTAATTACCCTGGTCACTACAACTTCAATATGTGAGTAATGAGACTATTGTATATTATTTTTATTATTATCTTCTCTTATATTTGGGGAATGGGTGGCCAGTCGGTGTTTATGGAAATTTACCGGGTGCCCAGTCTCCACCTGCTAGCTCAGTTCCCTTCTGGTTTTTAAAGCTTGATTAAATGCAGTCCTCCCCTCCTCCACCCCTGGCACGTTTCATTGGGTTGCTAGGAAGGTTAGATTTTTTTTTTAAAGAAAACTAAAACTGAGGCCCAAGGATTCCAAATTCTGTGGTAGACACTCTACACTTCAGCCTGTCTGGAGTAAATTCTTTACCATTTGGTATTTCTCTGCAAAGCCTGGAGTTACTAGATTCTGAATACTCATCCCATGCTTGGGAAAGAAATGTTCGTAGTTTCAGCAAACCCAGTTTCTGATGAGGGAGGGTAGGGCATTTAATGGGTGCTCACCCCATTCACAAGGCTGTGTTCCATATCCCGTCTGCAGAGTGCTGCAAGACACACCTTGGGACAGCTGAGCATGGGAGGATCTAAGTGCAACAGCAATATTTCTGAGGAACAAGCAGGAGAGCTACAGTCTTGTGGCATGGGGGGTGCTGTCATGGGGGTCAGGAACTGCACATCAGGACAATGCAGAGTGAGCTGAAAATCAGTGTCATAGCAGGCCAAAGGTAGAAGAAGAGTACGTTTTTATACCCACTTTTATCTACCTTACGGAGTCTCAAAATGGCTTGTGGTCTCCTTCCCTTCCTCTCCCCACAACAGGCACTTTGTGAGGTAGTAGGTGGGGCTGAGAGAGTTCTGAGGTGGAATCAACCTGGTTCTCCAAAAAAAACCCCAAAAGAGTCCACTGCTCTTAACCACTGTACACACTAGTAAACTGCACAGACTGTACTTTTCAAACAACTGTCTTCCACAAATGGAAGTGAGAGGATAGAATCCCGAGGTATTTCTCAGATGCATTTGTATAATTGCTCACATGGTTGATAATTTCCAGTCTTCTATAAGTGCAGTATGTTGGGAAATGTTGCCCTCTGTCTAGCTTCCAGATGCAGTATTTGTGCTCTGCTGGCCAGAGGTCTACAGCTTGTTGCCCACAGGCAGTCCAGATCTTTGCCATAGTATTTGTTGCCGCTCAGAGTAAGTCATTGCAGTGGCTGTTCAGTCAAGCACCAGACCACAGAAGACTGAAGAGAAGCATCTTACATCCCTGATAAGTCGTCTACACTTCTTGTGTCAGGTTTAGCTTAGAACTGATGAGAGGTTGTATCCTACCACTTTGCCCAGCCAAGTCTGAAGACATATGCTGAGCCTCTTCCTTCGGGGGAAGGCCTCTTCGGCCAGAGAACAGCTTCGGACTTGGCTGAGCAGAGAGCAGTAGGATTTTTTTATTTACTTCATTCATACCCCACTTTTCTCCCCAGTGGGGATCTATAATGGCTGGCATCATTTTCCTCTCCTCCATTTTATCTTCTCCTCAGCCCTGTGAGGTAAGTTAGGCTGAGAGTGCGAGATTAGCCTGAAGCATGGGGGGGGGGGCAAATAGAGATCACTTCCCCTGGGGGAAATGGCTGGTTTGGAAGGTGGACTTCTGAGGTCTTCCCCCCTCCACAAGTCCCACCCTCTCCAGGCTCCACCCCCAAAATCTCCAGGTATTTCCCAACCCAGAGTTGGCGTCCCTAGCCTGAGGTCACCCAGCAAGCTTCCAGGTCATCCACCGCTTTAACCACTACACCATGCAGTCTACAAGTTACTGTTAGGAACAGTAAGTCTCCTTTACGCCAGTGCTAATTCCTTTTGCAATTTCAATTTCCTAGCTACCACCGTTGTGAATTCAAGATTCCACTAGCTATTAAACGAGGTAAGACAGAAAACATACCTGTAAATCTGTGTATGTATTATTTTATGTTTCTGGTAACATTCAGCATTCTAGCTGTTGCCTTTAAATCCCTTTTATGGGGTTTGGAACCCAGTTATCTGAAGGGCTGCCTGCCATGCTATGAGTTCACCTTTTAGGTCTGAATAAACGCAGAATAAATATTTTCAGTGCCTCCCCTGCTCCTTACATCTAAACAGTGTAAAGCTAATACCTGCTCTATGGGCTTCAAATGCTTTAAAATGTTATTTAAAAATGTTATCCTGACGAAAATAGTAAAGCATTGGAACTGTTTGAATATAGCACTGCAGCTACACTTGATTTGTTTCCTCCACCCACCCACAATCAAATATTTCAGCTCAATTATTTGTTACTGGGACGTAACATTACCGTGTGTTTAAATGTTGTATACTATGTACATAAATCAAATCATATCGTGCTCTTGTTTAAGGCACTGGAAAATTTTCCAGTTTATTTTTTTGGGAGGGGCACATTAATATTAGTAAGCGGGAAATGTTTGGGAGTGGGGACATTTTCACAGCCATAAGGACTAGAGACGTGTGGCTTGAAAGAAAACCAAAGCACCGAAAGCTGAGCTTTGTGTCCCCAGGGCCACTTTCTGCTGGCCTGTGGAGCCACAAGCAGGTGCTCGCAGCTCTCACTGCTCCTTGACCACTTCTCCAAGTTCATCTTTCCCCCTGTCTTCTCCATTATAGAGTTTCTGTGAACATTTCACGTTGGGGGTGTGATTTTCATGTTTGCTTAACCTGGAAAACTTGAGTGAAAGAAACATGTTTTTGGGGTCAGATTGCAGGATACAGTTTGTGTCCATGCACAGATTTCTGACCAACCCCAGATACATATTTGTATGAGTGAATTTTTTAAAAAAATGTTTATGCCCTTTTCCTTTCGTCATTGGGTCCTGTGCCCGCAGAGAATATGTGTAACACAACTCCATAACAGGATGTGAAATTAGTGAGTACAGACGTTAAGTGACATCAGTTCCTGAGATTACCTGCCATGGATCAGTGTCTCTGCAGCTTCCAGCAGTGTCGCAAGCCCCGTCCTTGATCTGCCATTCACATGGCACTGCTTAAGTAGAAAATAGTGTCTGTCAATTTAATCCACAGATACATAGTTTATAATACAACCCTTCATATTCCTGTTGAGTTTAAAAACATTCTTTAAAAGTGTGGGCCATGAGAGTACTGCTGTTTATTTATTTATTTATTGACCTACCTCATTTATATCCTGGCTTTCTTCCCAATGGGGACCCAAAGCAGCACAGACCATTCCCTACTCTGCCACTTTATTAGATCAGCATGCCTGCAAAGTACATTCCTGGAGGAGTCTGTCTGCTGCATCTCTGATTTACCCCTCTAACCTTGCCTCTTTTCGGTCATTCCCCATGGGGGAGCTAAATACGGAGGATGTCTGGCTCTCATTTTAAGAAACGGCACCAAATCATTAATATAGATGTTAAACAGGCAGGGGGCCAACAAACATCCCTGTCTAACTCCCTTCTGCACTGGACAGGAGTCTGTCCTGACTCCTGAAGAATTCACTCGAACCGAGGCAGATGTTTTAGAATAGAGAGCCATAATCAATCCCAGTAGTCTGCGGTCAATATTGGTGTTCAATAACTTCTCCCACAATCTGCGACGAGAGATGGAGTCGAAGGCAGCCCTCAAATCCATGAAGGCCGCATAGAGACAACCTCTTGGACGCAAGGAATACTTGCTGGCAAGATGGAGAAGCGTCAGACAATGGTCTGTAGTAGCGACACCCTGTCGAAAGCCACACTGTTCAGGAAAAAGGAACCTCTCTTCATCAAGCCATTTCTGGAGTCTCTCCTGAAGGAGTGCAGAGTAGATCTTCCCAGGGGTAGCAATAAGGCTAATCGGTCTATAATTCCCTGGGTCGTTGGTATCCCCACCTTTGTGGATAGGTACCACAGTAGCTGTCTTCCAAATATCGGGGATATTAGCTGACTTGTTGATATCCGAAAACAGGTGGGCCAAGCGATGAGCCCACCATTCGGGATTCACCAAAAATAGTTCTAGAGGTATAAAATCCGGGCCCACCGCTTTGCCACGCTTCATCTGATTAAAACGTTCAAGTACTGACTCTGGAGAGACCTGACGAATGTTATCCTGACGAAAATAGTAAAGCATTGGAACTGTTTGAATATAGCACTGCAGCTACACTTGATTTGTTTCCTCCACCCACCCACAATCAAATATTTCAGCTCAATTATTTGTTACTGGGACGTAACATTACCGTGTGTTTAAATGTTGTATACTATGTACATAAATCAAATCATATCGTGCTCTTGTTTAAGGCACTGGAAAATTTTCCAGTTTATTTTTTTGGGAGGGGCACATTAATATTAGTAAGCGGGAAATGTTTGGGAGTGGGGACATTTTCACAGCCATAAGGACTAGAGACGTGTGGCTTGAAAGAAAACCAAAGCACCGAAAGCTGAGCTTTGTGTCCCCAGGGCCACTTTCTGCTGGCCTGTGGAGCCACAAGCAGGTGCTCGCAGCTCTCACTGCTCCTTGACCACTTCTCCAAGTTCATCTTTCCCCCTGTCTTCTCCATTATAGAGTTTCTGTGAACATTTCACGTTGGGGGTGTGATTTTCATGTTTGCTTAACCTGGAAAACTTGAGTGAAAGAAACATGTTTTTGGGGTCAGATTGCAGGATACAGTTTGTGTCCATGCACAGATTTCTGACCAACCCCAGATACATATTTGTATGAGTGAATTTTTTAAAAAAATGTTTATGCCCTTTTCCTTTCGTCATTGGGTCCTGTGCCCGCAGAGAATATGTGTAACACAACTCCATAACAGGATGTGAAATTAGTGAGTACAGACGTTAAGTGACATCAGTTCCTGAGATTACCTGCCATGGATCAGTGTCTCTGCAGCTTCCAGCAGTGTCGCAAGCCCCGTCCTTGATCTGCCATTCACATGGCACTGCTTAAGTAGAAAATAGTGTCTGTCAATTTAATCCACAGATACATAGTTTATAATACAACCCTTCATATTCCTGTTGAGTTTAAAAACATTCTTTAAAAGTGTGGGCCATGAGAGTACTGCTGTTTATTTATTTATTTATTGACCTACCTCATTTATATCCTGGCTTTCTTCCCAATGGGGACCCAAAGCAGCACAGACCATTCCCTACTCTGCCACTTTATTAGATCAGCATGCCTGCAAAGTACATTCCTGGAGGAGTCTGTCTGCTGCATCTCTGATTTACCCCTCTAACCTTGCCTCTTTTCGGTCATTCCCCATGGGGGAGTCTGCCCTGTCTCTGGGTCTGAGTCAGTCTCTTCCAATACAGAGATGTGGAAAGGGTTCCCCACCTTTGAGGGAGGCTGCCAGTTCCATTTCTGCCCAAGTCGTTACTGAAAAGCCTTGCCTTCATCCAATCAGGAGGCACACCCAGAAGAAGAATTCATGTTCAGTCACAAGAGGTGGACTCCTCTGCGGGAAGATCGTTTTTACATTTTCACTGTAGATCAGGGGTCCCCAGCCTTTCTGAGCCTACAGGCACCTTTGGAACTCTGACACGGCGTGATGAGCGCAGGCACAAAATGGCTGCGGCGGGAGGAGGAGCCAGTCACAAAATGGCTGCTGCAGCTTCCCTTCAGTCATACAGTGAAGATCCTTGTGCTGTGGTGGCAGCTGCTGTCAAAGCAACATTTTTAAAGATCTGCACAGCCAAACAAAATCTCCAGTGGCCAGTCAGAAGCCTTGCTGGGCAAAAAGCCCTACCTGGTCACGCCACATTCTAAAAATGTTTGATGGGCAGCAAGAAAGTTTTCAGTGGGCAAAATGGCGTCCATTGTCAGTTAAGGATATAGGGGTGAAGTTTGTTTCCAGTTTCAATAAAAACTATGAGACATTTGGGGAAGCTCTAGGGCTGCCAAGTGGGGGCGGGGAAACCCCCGCTTTGGAGGCCCGCCATCCGCCACGGCGGAATTGGGCCCCGGGGGAACTCCGCCCCCCGAAGCTGCGTCACCAGAGGTGACGCAGCCACATCACTCATGTTGGGGGCGTGGCCCAGATCGTCGGGGGGGAAGCATATGGTTCCCCCCCGACGATCTGGGCCATGCCCCAAACGTGAGCGACATAGCACGTCACTTCCTGTGACATGCTGGTGGCGCACGTGCATGTCCTGGGAGAGCTCCCGGAGCCTGGCAAGGCTCCCCCACCGGCAAGGGTGAGTACACTTGGCAACCCAAGTCACCCACTCGCCGGACAAACAAACGATCGGAGCCGGGAGGGTACCTGGTAGGGCTTCCCCCACCCCAGATGTGCTGTGGCCATAGTTAGGGTTTCTGCATAGGTCTCTGCACCATGCACCGTGTAAGCCGCTCAGAGCCCTTCGGGGGTGAGCGGGGTACAAATAGAAAGTATAAATAAATATAAATAAAATAAAACCCTAGGAAGCTCTGATCTAAAAGGACCCTTAGAATAATCTCTCTAGCAGGGGCTGTGCTGCTTTTATTTTCTGTAGAGCATCTAGATCACTTCTGGTGCCATTTAACATTTGTTTGCAGAAGGAGTAGAGTGTACCTCTTAAGTGTAATCTAACAAGAACTTCTGTTCTCTACAAACAGATAGTACCGATTCACAGACAGAAACTTGCACAACGTATAGCAAGGTAAGTTGCAACTAGAGTTAACGTTTCTCAAGGAAAATTGATCCCAATACAAGAAGTATAAGAGAAAGTGACAGGACAATACTGGTTAAGGATCATGGGATTATATAGCGTTTTGAGACAAAAGACATTTTCTGAAGCAGTAAATAAGGAGGATAACCCCTTTGAAAATCTCTATAGTTCTAAAGATGACAATAAGAAGGGTATTGGAAGGAAAGTGTATAGTCTATTGAACAAATATAAGGATTTTATGGTTAGGACAATACAATCTAAATGGGAGAAAGAGGTGAACCTATCAGCATGGGAGGTAAATAGGCTAATGAAGGGAATACTGGAAATAAAAATGGAAAAATTTAAAGAACTGGAAATGAAATTAATCTTGAAATGGCATAGGACACCTGCTTAATTATTGTATATGATTAAGGGGATGAAATCAGAGTGTTGGCATTGTAAAATAATAGGGGGACATTATGCACATCTTTTGTGGGGATGCTCTAAGGTAAGGGAATTTTGGCAACCGATCCTGGAAAAGGTTGATAATTTATGTAACGTTACGATTGAGCTGAATGAGAAAGTGTTATTTATGGGAATTCTGGGAAATAATAAAGTACATAAATCCAAAAAGGATTTATTTAAAGCGATGATTCTAGCAACTCATGCAGTAATAGCATATGGATGGAAAGATGCCTTAAAATGGACTTTGGAAAGATGGAACCGGTACTTATATGAATGGATTAAATCAGATATTTTATTGATAATAAAACAGGATAAGACATAGGAAGATAAGGCGGAGATAAGGAAGAAATGGTTTGGGTATATAAGATGGGTAAGAGAAGGGAGGCCCAATAACGATGTAGATGATAAAACTCCATAGGGTGTGCTTGTGGTTATAGATATAGTAATAAGGTTCTTCTTCTGGTCGCTCGTGGGGGGGGGGACAATAAAGGGGAAAATTGATGTATTTGATGTTTGGTTATGTAAACTTGATGAAAAGGATTATGAATGAATATGAAATGTAAGACATCAATACAAATTAAAAAAAATTAAGTTGCAACTGGAGTTAACGTTTTATGGAGTACCTTCTAAACCGCAAGAGTTGCATACTCTTTGTTCCATATTAAAGAAAGGGATGCTCATTTAGTGCAAGTCAGAAATGTTGATTCCCCAGCAAAGGAAGAAAATTCTGCAAAGATCGCATAATGAGCTGTATTTTGCAAGTGTTGGATTGTGGAACGTAATTCTGCTCAGCATCTGCTGAGGTGATAAAAGTTATTTGCCGCAAAGTGGAAGAGGGGAACGGTATTTGTGAATGTCGTGCACTGTTTCCTTGATTAAGGTTAATGGGCTACAAATCTTGATTGGGGAACTGCTTTTAATATGCATACTTAAGAAAAATCATAGATGGCATTTGATCTTAGAAGAGGCATTCTCACCTGCCTGAGAATACCTCTTTTAAGATGCATGAGTATTATCTAAAAACAGAATGGTGTGTGCTTTTTCCTTTGCAATTATTATTTATTCACTTGCTAATGTATGCAGATTTTACAGAGTCAAACCCCGTGCTGTTAATCATTACAGCTTGTAGTGCTATGAACTCTTAGGACTGAACCCTGAGAAACACAGTTTTCAAGTAACTTGTAGATTTGGACTGTGAGATTTTAAAAACTTTACTTATAAGAACACTTTCCCCCACCTTTCTCTTGTGGTTCAAGGCAGCGTGGAGTGCTAAAACATAATCTTTGATATAATCAAACTCTGTTGACTGCCTCCCTCCAAGAAAATGCCTGCAGTTCAAATCCTCTGTTTAAAGCCCTAGGAAACAAAAGAGGCTTATAAAACCTCTTTAATAGTCTCTTAAGGTCCGTGCCCTCCTTACTTCCTCATGGAGTCAGTTCCACAAGGTGGGAACCACTATAGAGGAGTGGGCTCTGGTGGATGCCAGGCAGGCAGTCTTAAAAGGACAAGCAGAAGGTGGCAGCTGAAGGGCTGTAACTGACACATGGGGAGCATTTATTTATTTTATTTATTTTATTATATTTATACCCTGCCCTCCCCGCAAACGAGCATAGGGGGAGAGGTGGTCCATATATATATGTCCATGAAGGGCTAATTTAAATGTCATAACCGGCACCTTGAATTGAACTCAGAAACCAACTTGCAGCCAATGTGGCTGTTATGAAATAAGATGTTTTCCTAATGACTAGTCCCTGACAGTAATCAGGCTGCTGTGTTCTGAACCAGTTGCTTTTTCTAGGCTGACTTCAAGGGCAGTCCTATCAAAAGTGTGTTACAGTAGTCTAGCTATGTGGTTACAAAAGGGTGACAGCTGCGGATATTACAGCAGAAACTGATGTCTGTTAGCTGGGATGTTGCCAGAACTGAAGATTAGGTATTGCCACCAGAAGCTCTTCTCAGCTTCTGACTCTACCTTCATTTTTTGTTCTTTTAGTAGTATCACCATCATATTTAAAAGTCTGGATCCTGTTTATCGCCCCTTGAACATGAGAGTCCAAAGCGGCTTTCAGCAATTATAAACCCGTAATATGTAAAGCCAACCTAAAAATACAGTCTGCACATTCAAAACTCTGCTAAAAGGAGTCTGATTGGGCCACGTAAAATAAACACTTCTTCCAAAACCCCACCACAATTACAACCTGTGAATATACTTGTGAAAACCTGAAGTATTACACTTAGGGGGCCTCCAAAGAAACATTTCTGGTGTGTGGTGGGGAAATCATAGTAGACAAGGCTTTTGCAGATATAACCCTCCAGTCAAACTAGAGAAAGAGCAGGCCTCATTCTCTCTCATCCAACAGTGCTAGGAACTTTGGGGGGGGGAAAGAAGAGTGGAGGATTTCTGCATTGTAGTGTGGTGACCAGATTTTACAGATTTATAAACCCAATTAATAAGCTATTTAATAGCTGTCGCCTTATAATGCAAAGTCTTTTGGAAGCCAAAGTCAGTTGCTTGCAGCTGTATTAAACCCAATGTTACAAACATTCTGTTATTACCATTTAATTCCTAATTTGTTTCTATTTTTTTAGCAAAAATCATAAATGACACAATAATGTTAGTAGCTAAATGTGCATAACCAAACTTTGACTTTTTTTAAATAAAGAGAATCCAAAGCATGCTTCTTTATTCTCTAAGATCTGTCATATGCTTACAGTGGGATAACATTCAGGATCTTCTTGGACACCCAGTGGAGAAGCCAGTGGTACTTCACAGGTAAATATTTGTTCTTTTTCGTCACTTAGATAAGAATAGTTTTGGATTAAAAAAGTGAACACATTTCTCTGTCTTACACTGCATCAGATCATTGGTCTATCAAGATCAGTATTGTCTACTCAGATGAGCAGTGGCTCTCCAGGGTCTTGGGCAGAAGCCTCTCAATGTCACCATCCTGATCTTTTTAATTGGGGATGCTGGGGATTGAACCTGAGACCTTCTGCGTGCCAAGCAGCTGCTATACCACTGAGCCACAGCCTCTCCCCAATATAATGAACACATGAAGCTGCCTTAATCTACTTTGACTGACAGTGGCTCTCTGGAGTCTCAGGTCTTTCCCATCACCCACTACCTGATCCTTTTAACTGGAGATGTCAGGAATTGAACCTAGGACCTTCTGCATGCAAAGCAGATGCTCTACTACTGAGCCACTGCCCTCACCTAGCTGGGCACCAGAAAGAGGCCTAGTAAAACTTATAGCAAAGCTCATGCCATATCTTGAGCAAAGAAAAGGAAACAGTTTCTAAAATAGTCTTGTAATTTGCAGAAGTCCATCTAGCATTGACCGTACCGTCGACCTCTGTCAGTCCATGTTCCGCCTAACCTTCCTCCAGGGACCTCAGTGCACTTTGTCTTTCCTGCAGTCTCCTGAGGCAGGTTAGACTGGGAAAAACTGGTCCCAAATAGAACCTATGAAATGGCTGAATGGGAATTTGAACCCTGCTCTGCCAAGTCCTGGTCTAATGCCAGGTTTGGCTGAATGTGAACTGTAGTACCGTGGAATCCCATAGAATCATTGAGCTGGGATAGAATCATAAAGAAACATAGAATGAATTTATAGTATAGTGTGCTAAACTTCATCCCCCTCCATGAACAGAAAGACAATAGCAACATCTGCCAGTTTGGTGTAGTGGTTAAGTGGGCGGACTCTAATCTGGGAGAACCGGGTTTGATTCCCCACTCCTCCACATGCAGCTGCTGGTGTGACCTTGGGTCAGTCACAAGCTCTGGCACAGCTGTCCTTGAAAAAGAGCAGTTTGTGTCAGCGTTCTCTCAGCCCCACCCACCTCACAGGGTGTCTGTTGTGGGGAGGGGAAGGGAAAGGAGTTTGTAAGCCGCTCTGAGACTCCAAGTGAAGGGCGGGGTATAAATCCAATCTCTTCTCTTCTTCTTCTAATCCTGCAGGAAGAGAGCCTAGAGACTTAAATCTTTGTCAAGCAAACAGTGATTGTTTATTTACCTAGTTTATACCCTGCCTGTCTCCCTATTGGAGACCCAAAGCAGCTGACATCATTCTCCCTCTCTTCCATTTTATCCTCCCAACAACCCTATAAGGTAGGTTAGGCTGAGTGTGTGTGACCGGCCAAAGGTCACCCAGCAAACTTCCACACCAGAGTGGGGATTTGAACCTGAATCTCCCAGATCCTAGTCTGACTCTGGCCACTGCACCACCACCGCCTCACCATGGTTAGAGAAAACAAGCCTTTATGATAATGGGGTGTCTATGGTGAAAGACTGACTTTGGCATCCAGGGAAGAAAGAACTGCCGTTGTTCATGTTGATGCTGCTTCCAGATTTATTACCCAGACTTAATGACTGTCCATCTCATTATTTGGTGTTTCAGACTTCTTTCGTGTTCTTTCAGGTCATCCTCTCCAAACAACACAAACCCATTTGGATCAACATTTTGTTTTGGACTGCAGCGGATGATATTTGAGGTTAGGGAAACAACAGAAAAACATATTTGCCCGGAAGAAATGACAAAGCGGAACTTTTGGGATTCTTGTATTTCTTGCAATACTGGCTGTTTGTAGTTCTCTCAGAAACTGGGTGTTGGAAGTAAGGAAGGCTGTGATGCATGCAGGCTGCTTCACTGCATTGTTGTCCTTAGATACTATACACGGGCACCGGCTGTATTTATCCCACACTGGTGGAAAGAGCCATCAAGCCGCAGCCAATTTATGGTGACCCTGCTTAGCTTCTGAGATCTGACGAGATCAGGCTGGCCTGGGCCATCCACACCAGCGCATTTATCCTACATTATTCAAATAATAGAGTGAAGTGGGTGGAGGTACGGGATGCGTTCAGATGACCGACTTGCATCACACAATGCATGCTGACTGCAAACATGCTGCACTAGGCAAACCCTGCCCATCTCCTACATCCCAGACTGTCACATCAAATATTTATTGACTAAATAATCCAATGAAAAGGAAGAACGTATGTTGATGATTAAGAGAAGAAAAACAGATGTAGTTATAAATCCGAGGCTGGCTTGGAATATGAGTCCCTTTCATGCTGTTCAAGGAGAAAAAGAGGAGTTGGTTTTTATACTCCGCTTTTCTCTACCCTAAGGATTCTCTAAGCGGCTTACAATCTCCTTCCCTTCCTCTCCCTACAACAGATACCCTATGTGAGGTAGGTGGGGCTGAGAGAGTTCTGAGAGAACTGTGACTGGTCCAAGGCCACCCAGCAGGCTTCATGTGGAGGAGGAGTGGGGAATCAAACCCGGTTCCTCAGATTAGAGTCCGCTGCTCTTAACCACTGCACCACACTGGTTCAAGATTGGATGATGCTGTTACTTGCATTTCTGATTCATCTGATTTATTTTTACTTCCGTGTCCCTCTTGGCGCAGGTGATGCAGAATAACCACATAGCATCTGTTACTCTGTACGGCCCAGCAAGACCCAGCAGCCAGCTGAAAACGTCCGATCTCCCCCAGTGAGCGATAATGGCTAATCAACTTGCTGCAAGATTAGTACAGCGTGCCTTGATCTGCTGCCACTAATAATATATATTTAAAAAGCACGGTATGATGGATATTATTTTTTTGAGTTTAAAACTGCCTCTCGCCACTCATGCTTGGGGCAGGATGAAGAATCCTCTCGACCGTTCATCAGAGGACATGGAACTTGTGTCGGAGGTGAGCCATCGGGCCCCCCGTTGCCGTCGGTCTTTCTTCCTTTTGGTTATCCTCGTCCTTTTACAGCATAGATGCAAACAGACTGGTCTGTCTTTTCCTGAGCTGGAAGAAGGAAGAGTTTAAAGAGAGTGCACACAAATGACTGCACGACTTAGAAGCACAAACTTTCTGAGCCTTGGCGCATCTGCAAGCAGGTATTGGATATATATAAATACAAATATATATATATATTAGTCTGTGTTTTTGTGTTAACTGTACCAATGTGGTGGAAATGCTTTTAAAAGACAACAAAGGGCGTGTGTGTGTGTGTGTGTGTGTATATATACATATATATATATATATATACACATACATACACACAGACACACACAGGCAGAAATATATCTATGTCTGTGGTTTATGACATCATACCAAATGTGACAAGTATGTACATACGTGTCCCATGATTTCAGGCACCACATTTTTTATATACTGTTGAAAACAAAGCACGGAAGCAGCATGTGCATAAAAACTTGGTTGTAACTATTTTTATTTTTTGCACTACATACACTTTAAATTACTTGATAAGACGTTTTAATCTTCATTGAGGAGCCTCTGTGTACCGGGTATGAGTGGGAGAGGGGTGCAACAGTTTATTTAATTGTTTGCCACACACAACGCTTATTTATACCGTGGGGCAGAATTCCCCACCTCTTCTGCACTAATATTTACTTGACATGCTGAAGCAACCTCTTTATTTTCCTGGTTAACTGTTAATGTGGGTTGTTTTTTTTTTTTTTATGTGTACAATTTCCAGAAGAAAAACAGAAGTCAAGTAGATTATTCCTATGTCTCGTTTTGCTTTGGTTTTTTTCCTTGGTGGTTTTGATACCATTTTTCTTTTTAAGGAAGGGAAAAAAGTGTTAATCCCGTAAGAGCAAATACAGTTTTCTTCTCTTATTATGACTATGCGAAACGTTATCAGATTAGACTTTTGTAATTCCTCATCCTATAATTGAATGCGAACATCTCCCACCTGAGTCTCATTGAAACGAGTGACAGTTGTACTGGTGGGACTTCTATTGAACCTAGTCTTGGGAGATTGTGCCCTTGGTAATTATATAGCACAGTTGGTGGGGGGAATGCCCTGGCTGCCCACCCCCCAGATGTCTTCAGATATCTTTATTTAATGCCAAAACATTAGCCAAAGAGATCCTTTAATCAAGTTTCCTAATTTCTGTGCATATATAGTGACCCTGCACACCCTTCCCATTCACCCCACCCTGCCCTGCAAACAGGTTTCAGCTGCTTCCAGTTTAAAGAGAGGCTTCTCCCCAGTCATGATCCCCATCCGGAGACAACTGGCCTTTGTTGCTCTCTTGCCAGTCTTATTGTGGGGAAGGTAGCTAGTCTACCAACTTTGAAATATCAGCCCTTTTTAAAAACAACGGAGAGAGAGCGAGAGAGTGAAATGTATAATTTTATCCCATTTTTTAAAAAAATATTTTGGTGTAGCAACTTGTGATATGTATTATAGACAACTTTTGTGAGTTTTACAAATGTGTGTACAGATTTTGTAAATACAAACCTTTTTTTGTAATTTTAACTCCATGTACAGTGTAATCCTGTATAGTTTTATCAACAAATGAGGGATAGGAAAATTTTGGAAAGTTGAACTAAAAGTTTTTGAATCCTGGACCAGTAGCAGGGATAAATGTAGTGTGTGCGCGTGTGTATGTGCGTGTGTATTTTGTGAGTGTGCGAGGTCTTCTTTTGGTCCTTCTGTCTTCATGTATACTGTGATATTCTCTACTGCTTTACTTTAAAAAAATAAAATAAAAAATAAAGGAAGCCCCACTGAGAATCTAATGGAGAAAGGAAAAAAAGTTTACCTTTATTTCTAGATGTTACTGTTTTTATTCACAATGTGCTTTCCCCCCTATGATCATTGCTTGCTGAGAATTCTTCCTCCCCCCCCTTCTCTTTATGCTTTCTAATAAGAATCCTGTTTGTTTGTTTTTCATGGCCATTCTGTAAATTCTATGAAATAGTTAGCATGTACATTGAAAGGACAAATAAAAGGAGACTCAGTTACTGTGTTGTTTAAATACAGTTGCTGGGGGTGTGTATTTTGCAATCAGTGTTGACTCTCTGGTTTTGTTTCCCTGTGGCTGGCCAGAGCGGCCAAGTGACCACTGGCCGTTTTTCAGAATTTGCTGTGGGGCCTCAGAGAAAGTGGAACCTGGGATGAGCAATATGGCTGGGGTCTGTGGGGGGAGGGAGTCATTAAACTGCCTGACCTGTGACCAAATGACCCAAACGTAGCCCTCTTAGGGGCTCAGGAAATGACCTGTTCATGCTGCCCACCGGCAAGGGTGAAAATGGGGTTGGGTTTGCCTGGCAACCAGGATACACGGGTCGGAAGGACTGTGGCTCAGTGGTGGAACATCTGCTAGGCATGCAGGGGGTCTCAGATTCAATTGCCAGCATTTCCAGTCAAAAAAGCATCCGGTAGTAGGCGATATGAAAGATCTCTGTCTGAGAGGTTGAAATAGCGGGCCCAAAAGGAAGCTTAACACGGGGAGATTGTTATCGCCCACCAAATCAAAAGATAGAGGAGGATTATAAAATGATGAATGAATTAAAGACAGCGGCTAGATGAAATAACCGTGTCATAATAGGCGATTTTAATTACCCACACATTGATTGGGTCAATATGTGTTCAAGTTGGGAAAAAGAGATTGAGTTTCTAGACATTCTCAATGACTTCGCTATAGAACAAATGCTCACAGAACCTACTGGGGAGAAGCGATCCTGGATTTGGTCCTAAGTAATGCCCAAGATCGGGTGAGAGTTGTAAAAGTGATTGCACCGCTTGGGAACAGTGACCATAATGTTATTGAGTTTAACATATGTATAAATAGGGAGTTGCCCAAAAAGACTGACACAACCACTTTTAACTTTAAAAGGGGTAATTTCTCTGATATGAGGGGACATGTGAGGAAGAAACTGAAAGGAAAAGTAGAACGGGTCAGAACCATTGGGGAAGCTTGGAGACTATTTAAAACTACACTCCTAGAAGCTCATAAAAATATATATACCACAGGTTAGGAAAGGCACAAATAGGTATAGAAAAAAGCAGGGCTTTTTTGTAGAAAAAGCCCAACAGGAACTCATTAGCATAATAGGCCACACCCCTGATAGCACAGCTGTCCGATTCCCCATTCATTCAAAGTAAATCCATGTTTGATGAACAAAATAAGATTTATTAAAAGAGATGGTTAGATCAGGAACACAATCATTGTTAGTAATGACTACAAAAGTCCAAGGGAAACATAATAAAGGAACTTGAACCGAGACAGGACCAATGAGCCCAATTCCCGCTGGCGGGAGTGTGATAAGTCTTAGCGCCCTTTCCTTGGGAACACAACGGTTCATACTACATAAACACAAGTTCATTCTCAGGCCTCAGAATACATAATAAAGAGAGCAAGCCGTAACTCCTTCCCACCACCAGCTGGTTAACCTTGAGCAGTTCCGCGGAGTGCTAGCAACAGAAAGTAAACACCTACACAAGGGGCAACAGAAGGGGGGATGAATCGAGTACAGTATACTATGCAGAATAAAACATACAACATAATGGCAGCTTGCTGACAACAGCTCATTAGCATATTATGCCATACCCCCATACCTTCCCTTGGCTTGCCTGGGCGCACCGTGCCTGT